CATAAGTAACACTGAGTCTCTAAGGCTCGGTTCCTTCATCTGTAAAAGTGAAAATAATAATAGTACCCATCTGTAAGGGTTATTGTAGGTATGAAATGAAATCATGTCTTTATATACCACTCAGTTTGGCTTGTTTTATTTTTTGGTGCTGGGGATTGAACTCACACAGCTGGCACATGCTAAGCAGGTCCTGCACCACTAATCTACATCCCCAGCCCAGCACTGGCATGCTTTAAAAATCCAAAATATTAGCTGTCATTAAAGCAAGAGATCTTATTACTTGATCAAGAACACTAAGAACCCTGTACAAAAAGAATGTAAGTGGGAACTCATTTTTGAACAAGGAAAGAGGGACATAAACTTCAGTTCCTTTATGTGCCAGGCAGTGGAATAGAAACTGCACAGTTATAGCATTTCATCCCCACAAGAAGACTATGAAACACGTATCTAACAGAGGAGGATACTAGGGCTCCACAAGGTTGAGTATCTTACCCAAGACTTTTAAAAAGCACAGCCAGGCTTATCCTTTGCTGCGTCCTCCTTGCCCATTGCATCTCACTCATCCTGTCTCTGGGATCCAACTCACACTCTGCACTGATTCCGTAGGACGGTGTTGCTCGGACAGCCTGCCTGAGAATCCAGAGGGGTGGGAGTGCGGGAGGACACTAGGGCACCATCCTAAACCGTTCCATTTTGGTAAATCTGCGCTGGGCGCAGGGATCAGCATCGCAGGCAATTTTGCTGCAGGTAGCTCCTGATCACATTCTGGACGTATGGACACAGGATTAAAATACTTGTTCTAAGATCCTGTAAATAACTATTTTAAATTAACAGGTAGGATTATGACACACAGCCATATGATGAAAAAAATGTATATACAACCGATATATTTTAGGTTTCATACAATAATTGTGTCCTTTGCATTTATTTTATAGTTTCTCTGCATAGAAACCAACGAGTCAGCTGGGTGCAAGCTGCATATGCCTCTAATCCTAGAATTCTGGAAGGTTAAGGCAGAGGAATTGCAAGTTTGGGCCCAGCTGGGGCAATTTAGCAAGACCCTGGCTCAGAAAAAAAAAAGAAAGAAAATTTAAAAAGGGTTGGGAATGTAGCGCAGTATGAAGGCCCTGGGATCCAAACCTCAGTACTACGGACCACCACCACCAGAACAAAGAACCAAGAAAGAAAGAATCCTGTAAGTCATGGGTTGAGTTCGTATGAGTTTTTGTATCCAATCTGTAAGTGGACTTCTCATTAGGAATATCTTTTTTGTAGCAGTTGTTTGCTTATTTATTTAGCATGACCATTTAAAGTCACCAAATAGAAAACAGATAAAATAAACACAGTGGGGCTGAGGATTTGGCTCAGTGGTTCCACTGCCTGCCTTGTGAACACAAGGACCAGAGTTCGATCCCCGATACCACACACACACACACGCACACACACACACAAAGTATTACAAAGAATAAACACACCCACAAAAATAGGTGGATCCTATAGAAAACCATGGCGACTTCCACGTCAGTCATGGGAATCTATTAAACTAAATTATATAAACAGTTGTACAAGGATCTGTCAGGTATTTAACTGTGATGATTCCTTTAAAATAAACCATATAGGTCATGCAGTGCTAATAAAATATGTTGATGAACCTGTGAGTCCTTTGCCCTGATTCCGTCTCCTTGGGGAATGGAGAGCTCATTAGCATGAGTTCCTTGTCAGTCCTCCCTGGCCTGTTCCCCAAGTGCTTTCCAGACAAGCTCCGCATAAAAGAGTGATCAGATCGTGTGTAGCAGGGCAGTTTCAAATGAATAGCTCATCTAGCCCCCTGATTAAATACATGATGTTACGTAGTGTGAACAGGCTGCTGTGCTTTATTAGGTTTATTTTTCTCTTGTCGGAGAACTTTAAAAAGGTAAATTTGGAGAGGGGATAGGATAGGGAAAGAGAACTCTATAAATTCTTGTGTCTTCATATTCAACTGAAGATGCCTATTTCCCAACCTGGAACTCCTCAAAGCTGAGAAGTTGTTAAATTGGGAACAGCAGGGGTGTGTGTGTGTGTGTGTGTGTGTGTGTGTGTGTGTGTGTGTGTACACAGTGAGATGAGAGATAAACTTGTTTGGTTTCTAAAACAATAAGTAGTAAAGGGTAAAGTCCCTTGAACTAGAAAAATGATTTAAAATGTCAGCCTATAATAATACCTTACACTTTATGTTGTGCTTTGAAAAGTTCAAAGCAGTTTTATATTTACATGTCATTTGAACTTCACAACAGCCCTACAAAATAGGTAGAGCAGGCCTTATAATCTACCAGCACCACTTAAAAGACGGCTAACGAAGGAACAAACAAACTTGTTCGAGGTCACATAACCAGTTGGTGTCATAGCTAGAACTAGAATACCAGGATTTTGAAACTTAAGCCTGTGTTTTCTTGGCAGAAAGTGTCTCTGCTACTGCTTGATCTACCCAGGGTTCATGTGGAGATTTGTGGCTACAATTTAATTGGAGAATACAAATCAAGCATGCCTAAAGAGCTCTACAGAAAGGAGATTGTGTCTTCTAGATCATGGCTGTGTTAGAAAGGGGAAGTACAAAATGGAGTCAGCTGTTTTGAACAATACAAATTAAAAACAAAAACACTTTGTAATCAGTTTCAGGGTATTTTGGGGCAATTCCCTCATTAAATCGGGCATTCATGTTTAAAAAGTATCTATTAAGTGTCTTTATACAAGAAACTGCTTTATATCTCAGGAAGATACAAAGAAATGCATTGAATTTTTTCGGGGTGCTTGCTTTGAATTATAATAACCACTTTATTCATTGATCATTACCTCTTAGTAGGTGAAACAGCTTCCTGGCAGAGAAGCAAGATAAAAACAGATGCAAAACTGGGCAACTAATTTCCTTCCATTCTTTCCCTGTAGGAGGCATTTTTTTTTTTCTTTTTTACTCAAGGTGATAGTTTCCCTGCCAGGTACACAAAATAAGAAACTTGTTATATCGCCTAATATAATGCAGATTTAACCCTGAAACTGGGCTGACTGGGCTCAAGCTCCCACCCAGAAATACCTGCTCAAGATTTCAGGGAAAATGTTAGTGCAGACCACAAAGCTCTCAACATCCAAAGAGCATTTCTGAAGGTCAGAAATGATTTTCTATAACATTTTCCCTCCCTGGCTCCAAAAAATAACTTTTCCTGTAGGTAGGCATGGTTGAGGATGTAGACAAGAACAGGTACAAACAAACACTCTGCCCAGAGTGGCTGAAGTTCTTGTCATTTGGATGGAAGGTAGGCAAGAATATGCTAATGGATGGTATGGATCCCCCAAGGTGGTCTATTTTAAAAAACATTTTCCTAGAAGGGTCAGGGATTTAGCTCAGTGGTTCTGCTGCTTGCCTTGTCATTTGGATGGAAGGTAGGCAAGAATATGCTAATGGATGGTATGGATCCCCCAAGGTGGTCTTTTTAAAAAACATTTTCCTAGAAGGGTCAGGGATTTAGCTCAGTGGTTCTGCTGCTTGCCGCCCAAGCACGAAGACCGGAGTTTGGTCCCTGGTACCAAAACAAAACACCATAGCCAAAACATTTTCCTAGAAAAACTTCTTCTTACTAGCATAAACACCTCCAAACCTGAAGGCAAAATCTGTAATAACACTGACATGCATTGTCAGTACTTGTTTACTGTTCCTTTAGTTTATACTGCCCAAGCAGAGCTTCTTAAGCATAATCACCTTCTGTTGTTTTGACTGGTCTTGCCTGGCCCCCAAACGTGGACGAAGCGTTCATAGTACTGAGTTTATTGGCTTCATGTGTGAAGAGTGAAATTAACCCCAGCTCTGTTCCCAATACTGTTCCTATTTTGCTCTTCCAGGCTTCTACGTTCCCCACTTGTAAAATTACAGATTTGCAGTAGGTGAGCTCTAAAATGTGTTCCAATTCTATCATCTGAGGGTGGTGAATATGTCTCAGTTATGTTTAACTCACACCAGATCACCCCAGTCAGCTGGTACCCTTAACAATATGGAGTTTGGGTTCTGCTTCGGAAAAAATGGTCATAGTTGGGCAGGCGATCATAATTCAGATGAAAGTAAGTTTATTCACTTTACAAAATGGTTGTTCCACAAGACAATTGCAAATTAGTGGTGAATAACAAATGGTGGTCATGCATTTAAAATATTTATTTTAATCCATGTTTTCAGGGAAAGTAATTTAGAGTTGGACATACTTGTATTGAATAATCAAAACGCACATGTAAGAAGTGACAAAATGACAGTATTTTAGAATGCAAAAGAACCTTGGGAAACTTCAATCCAATGTCCACATTCTACAAAATAGGAAACTAAAGACCAAATGAGGTTATTTACTTGCTCAAGACTACATAGGTAATCACAAAGGTTGTGCAAAGAAAATTAACAGCAGAATATTTTCCGTACTTTTCTCTATTCAGTTTTGAGAACATAACTCTACATTTACTTATGCAGGAAAAAGTCAAAGATGCTCAGTCCTTAAATCAAGGAATATTTTAAAAAATAAAGTTTGGTTTGTCATGCACTCACATAGGTGCACTTTAATGGTCTAAAGAGATTCACTTGCATTTAAAGTAGGCTAAGACACTCGAGTTTGACTTTGCTGGCCGCTGAATTGCCACTGAAATAGCACAGTTCTCTATCATTTTCTAAGATTTAGCTATAAGTTCATTGGGATTTTTATAACATGTGAATATACATTGAGCTGTCAATAATATATTTTCTAATACTAATTCACCGAAATTCCAGGTATGCTTGTAGGTGTCAAAAGGACTTGAATCAGTTGCTGCCAGTCACGTTAGTTTATTATTCTTGTAATCAGTTTTGAATAGCATTTCTACAGTGACGTACAGTGATTGGAAATTAAATATTAGCACAGATTGCTGAACAGTTCCAAGGCACACGTCTTTATTTTCGCTATTAACCTCAGCGTCTGAAGTTAGCAGGGCTCTTTAGAACTAGTGCTTCCTAGCGATCCCCTGACTCAACCTGAAATCAGCGCCTCTGTCCCACAGTCACCCAGTTAATTTTAACCTTGACCTCCCACAGCTGTAACTGCTTTACCCGGTCTAGAAAAACTCCCTGATCCCACCCTCTCCCTCTCCTATGAAGCAACAGTGGAGAGGAAAAACGCAACCCATTCCTTTAAGAAAGATTCCCCCTCCTCTCTTAGAAGCCAGCGCCTGATGGTAATTGCGGAGTCTCCAAGTCATACTCGTTACTCCTCAGCGTTGGGAGCCACAGCCGCCGCCGCCGGTCCGAGGCTGCAGTGGGTTTCTGTGCAGCAAGCACTGCAGAATCCACGCCAAGGAAAGGAAGACAGACAGACACACGGCTGCTGCCCTGCACACCGAAGCCTTTGGATCTTCAGAGGTAAGCAGATTGTTTACCCATTTTGCTCAGGAACTACGGGAGAGGGAATGGTCGTGGAAGACTGCTCGCTGCTCGTCAGGCATGCTTCGAACGATTGCGAATTTGTTTTCCTTCGGCCATGGTGGGATCTGTCTGTGACTGGCAAATGCCCTGTAGAGTGAAGACCATCATCTGAGAGGGCCCTCGGCACGCTGCGTTTGTGCATTATTTATTAAAAAGCGAATCTTGATGCATGCAAAGCCTTTCCCCCTTCCTTTGCTTTTTAAATGAAAACACCAGCCACTCCCAATCTCTCTGTAACACTGCAGATATTTTTAAATGCCGAATAAAATGACAAGCAGAACGTTTTCTAAATATTGTTTCCTCTCCAAAGCCGGGAAGTCTTCCCTCCCCACGATTGTTTAGGGATATTTCAAAACAAGGCACGGTTAGGTGTTTGAACAAATGGGAGCTGGCGGTGGACTGAGATTCCTATAGGCTTCGTCCACTGGAGAGAAAAAATGAGGATAAATGAATCACAGCTTGTGCCCAGACAAGATTCATTTTCCACACTTCCTATGTGGGAAGAGGAAACTACATTTAATTAGCACATTTTTAGGGGACAGGGAGGGGACGGAGATGAGGGGATGGTGTGTGGTATTTGAGGCGTCTGCAGATGAGGAAGGAAATGAAGTGGATCGTCGCCAGGGCTCGGAAGGACGGCAGATAAGGGTGGAGAATGAAGTTTGTTCCGTGTCGGGTGGGG